CCACTTACCACAGAACAGCACAGTCTTGTATCAGCCCACAGTTGGGCTCGAACTGATGTGCAGGCCCCTCTCCCACCTGTCCCTGCTCTCCATGGCAATGCCATACCTAAGCAGAAGGGCGCTGGCTTTTGAATTCTGGACTGATCACTGCATGCCCTGGGGCAGATTTACTTAACCTCTGTAAGCCTCTGTTTTCCTATCCACAAAATGAGACTGATCAGGACTGCCTTGTGGTGTTAGTAAAAGAATCAGAGATTATGAAAGTATGGTATTTAGCCTGGTGCCTAATGCAACATTAACATAAAATGATTAGAAGCTGTTGTCATAGCCTAATTCTGAATTCTGAACAACTTACTCTATTACATTCCTTTTCTTATAAATGGGTCCCTATTTTCTTATAAATGGGTCCCTATTTTTAAATGTCTTGCTCTCATCAGTCCTGTGAATCAGCAAATTCTGGAGGACAGAGTCCCCACTTTATACCTCAGTTTTGTCCACAGTATCCAGTATTCTAGAATGCAAGGCACAGAGCAGGCCTAAATACAATCCTGATCAATGAATCACTGCCTCCCAGGTCCAGTGACTACCCATGGCTGGGACCTGCCAGCTCTTTCCCTTGTCCTGGAGGGAACAAAGTCATAGCCTAGTCTTGCCAGGTATCAGCAGGGAAGCCGCCATCTGAGGCAAACTCTGGTGCCCCTACGTTGATTCAAAAAAATTATTCTTTGAAAGCAATGAATTTCACTGCTTCTCTTTTCTTCAACCATGTTTATAAATAATGGAATGTCACTATTATTTTTCTTCATTCCAAAGAATGAGAACAGAAAACAGGCCTTGGGTTTTCAGCTTTTGGTGCTGTGTTATTGGCAGTTGGCACTCACGTTCATAAACAACAGGCCTACCTTGAGATGCTGCTTTGTTTTGAATATGTGTATACGCTACAATTATAAATATATATATATATATATAGTTTAATTGGGGGTTTCATGGAGAAATATAAATGTAGAAACCAGATAAATCAGAAAATTGCCAAATTAACTTAGATCTATTGCTTTGGAGAAGACTTATCATCAGTGCTTCCTCAAGTCTTGTAGCAAATATAGTTTGAAAATGAATATGACACTATAATTCTTTTTTTTAAGATGTATTTATTTATGCATACAAGGGCGGGAGGGTTAGAGAATTCAGCAGAGACAGAGTGGGGAACAGAACAAGCAGGTTGACCAAAGTACACTGCTGAGGAGAACAGCAGGTGAGTCAGGAGAGGTCTGCTGCACCATGTAGGTTGCTCCCTGGCTGGCCAGGGGATCAAACTCATGCTGCAGTGGCTGCGGATAACTTCATAGTTTGCATCTTAACACCTTGTGCCACCAGGGAGGCCCTATACTTTAATTTTTGATTGTATTCCTGTGTAGTAAAGAATGTCATGTTGTAATCATGTCATAACTAAATGTTTATGCTCCTTAAAGGAAGAGACTGTATCCTAGACTTGAGTATGCACAATTCCTAGGGCTAAACTTCCTTGGTAGATATCAGCAGTAGCTTAACATTAATGTTGGCTCTTCTACCAGCACTCCTGAGACTATTCATTTCCCTTGAAATTTTATGAAACTTTCCATGATCAAACCAATGACTAGACATAGTCATGACCCCACTAGCCCCTGCCTAGTGTCTGAACATATGAGGTATCTCGTATTCATATAAATGTACCCCCAAATGCCTTTTAATTTCTGTTTTTTTGGAAGCCTAGAAATGTTGGGGGTCAAAACATTGACCCAAAGATTGCATGCAGTGACAAAAGTGTGATTTAAATTCACTCCATTAAAAGAGCCTGAAACTTTCTCTATCTAGGAAATATTAAACGCAAGAATTTTAAAGTCCACTTTGTTCACACAAAAACAACACCAAATCGCCCACCAGGCTTACAGAAATGCCTCCACATCACCTATCATTAGTCTTCATAGTAACATTTTTGTTGATATAAATTTGACCGTACATTCCATTTGTTATCCAAAGTAGTCAAGGACAAGCTGGGGAGGGTACATGATCCCTTTGTCCACAACAGCTTGTCTGTGAACTCCTCAAGTCCCAAGTGGGAGAAAGGCCCCAAAGGGGAGAAGGTACATGTTTGTGGTGACCAGCTCAGGCCGCATCAGTGGGGTGGAGGTTTAAAAAATTATGCAACTGAAGTTGACCACATACCATTGAATGACTTAAGAAAACTAGAGAATTCTCACCAGAAAGGATCACTCTTCCAAAATAGAAGAGAATCTCACACATTCACCCCAGGCTCTCTCAAAGTACTTTCATGTGCATCTTATCCGCACTGCACTGGAGTCCTATAAATTAAGTATTTATAAATATAATTTAGAAGAGAAGAAACTGACTTTCAGATGTTGAAAAATCTCCCAATGTCTTACAGTAATGACAAAGCTGTCACCAGAACCCAGGTCTCCTAACTCCAGCACACTTTTCCTTCCCTTGCTGTAAGAATAATGCAGATGTATCAGCTGCACTGCATCCTAAGAAATGCTCCTTTGGAACACCTCCCCCACACCCTAAGAAGTGCCTGTCCTCAATCTCTACTACCAATACCAAATAAACTTACCCTCATTAGGTCAAACATTCACCAGTAGCTCCCATTATGAGTCTCCAGTGCATGGCTGCCAGGTGCAGTTGTGCATGTTGTGCACTGCTCAACTTAAGGAGTTTCATTAACATTATGGGGTACATGACCATCCTTTCTTAGAATGGAAAAAGTGTGCCATGGCCCATCAAGCCAGATATGATTGGTTGTAGAACTCGTGTAAGGCTCATTTATTATGCCCTATTACTTTATATAATTCCATCTAATTCTCACTAGTATATGATAGAACAAAAAAATTGTCAACAAATAGCTTACTGTGCAAAAATTAAATATATTAGGAACTAATAAATGGTATAATGTTGATAATAATGTGAAATCAAGGATGCTACTTGAAAGATTTAGTGCTCAAGGTTATTGTGTTTTATTGAAAATTACAAGTAATGCCTATGCTCTTGACATATAACAATGAATTTTTATTCCTGCCATAAGTTCTTCAATAAGGTCCACAGTGTTATATTAAGAGGTTACATTAGATTCATATTAGCAACTGAAATTATAGCATCATAGTAAATTAAAGGAGTAAAGGGGGCCTCCCTGGTGGTATAGGGGTTGAGTCTCAGCGCTATCATACTATCGCAGCTGACTTTGATCCCCAGCCGGGATGCTGGCCCACATTGGCCCAGCAAACCTCTCCTGTCTTGCTCACTGCTCCTCTTAGCAGTGCATTTCAGTGGCTCCACCTGTTCTGCTCGTTACTCTGTCTCTAGTGAATCCTCTCACCCCTGAACCTGACATATGCCCCAGTTCTTATATGCATAAATAAAATAAATTTTAAAAAAAGACAGAAAAGGAATGTGTTTTTTAAGAAAAATAAATGTAAACCTATAAAATAAGAATTCTGAATGGAGAATGAATGCCTCCAATTATTTTATAATGTCATTGTTTAAAAAAAAATACCAACCTACCTTATTGATGTAGCATCTCCCTCTTGATGTAGCAGCATGCTTAGTTTGTAATAGAACAGCTATGAAAAACTGAAAATTAATATTCAAATTATCATTGTCAGCATCTCTGTTATCTAGCATGACCGTGATATATGCTAAAGGCTTAGGTAACTGTGGCAAATGTTGGCCAAAAATGGCTACAGTTTTTTCCACCTGTGTGTATTGATACCACTTTGCAATGTTCCACTGTTCTTCCCATCAAGAGGCAGAAACTTGGCCACATATTAAATTCCTAAAAAATATATTCCTAAAATAAGTATCCTGTTACTGTTATTTCTCACCATATGTCCACTTTTGAGTGATATCCTTCAGTTGTAAGCATGCAGGTGAGGACCCGCCAACTGGTCAACATGAGTTTCCCCAGGTTTTCTCTGTTTTATTCACTATGCACATCTTTCTGAATATCATATAAGTAGCCAGAAGAATACAAGAGTCCAGATAGTTTTTTCTGAGAATAGGTCACTCTATATATTCACTCCTTGAAACACTTTTCTTTGGCCAGACTCTTATAGCACATAGAACATCCAGAAAAACATTTCAAGTTCTACCTCCCAGGTTGGAGGTTATTCTAAACTGTTGAGGCAGATAAACTAGCATATTCAAAGCTATGTTAGATAAGGAATAGCTGAAGGTAGTGGGGTTTCCTAGAGGGAGTAACCAAGAGCACTGATTGTATTTTTTCTGTCTGCAACTGTTTAATATTATTTAAATTTATGTTACAAATATTATCTATAATAGCTCTCATCCCAAGACTGCCCACCTGCATCTATGCAGGTGCTTTCTTCTCCTTTCTCACTTTCTTTTTCCTAACAAGCCTGCCCTTTTAAAATGTGGAGGTGGGGGCGGGGGGGAAATATGTAATTTGAGACTATGGCATAGTTTTAAAATAAAAAACAAATTTCAATATAAAAAACATTCTGCTTGTTTTACAGTGACTAATCATAATTGTAGTTATCTATAATCCAGTGGGAATTTTGGGAGCAAGATGATGGGTGGGGAGGTTCAATTGGTAATGAGTTTATTATCACTGGAGATAATAAAAAAAAGAAATTCTAGTTTTTATAGAGTACTCTGGAGCAAGAAGTTGATGTCAAGACTAGAAATAGGTCCCCATCCTTTGCTTAGTGACACTCCTAGAGCTGTTTCATATTTTGTCGTATCTTTTTTTTTTTTTTAAGTCAATCATGTCACTGTTTTGAGAAGAGACTGGTGACCAGCAGGAGCACTTCTGCAACAAAATAATGTAAACTAGTGCAGACATGCATCAAGGTTCTATTTGTTGTCTTCATTGGGTCAGGGTGTAAGAAACCCAATCTCTAAGGATAAGGGAGTAGCTTATCTTGCCCCGGAAATCACTGCTGGCACACAGGAATGTTGCTATTCATCTGGAAGTGACCAAAAAAAAAATAAATAAGTCCCTTGGAGGGTCACATGACTCTACAGCGCTCAAGGCAGATCTCTTCTCATAAGGGTTCTGTGTGAGCCTCTAAAACCCATGATTTTTCTCTGCAGATGTAGGAAGAAAGGAGGTGGATGGATAGATAAGCATGGCCTTGCTCCTGGTCTCCGTACTGGCATTCCTGAGCCTGGGGTCCGGATGTCATCATCAGATCTGTCACTGCTCTAACAGGGTTTTCCTCTGCCAAGAGAGCCAGGTGACAGAGATTCCCTCGGACCTGCCCAGGAATGCAGTTGAACTGTGAGTATCAGAGGCAGTGGGAACAACTGTGTGCCTGGCATTTGTGCATCTGGTGCTATTATTATTTTCACATTAGGGGCTGATAACTGTTGGGCTAAATTCTTCTGCCTTGGTTGAAGGTTTGAATAAAACAAACTCCCCAGCCCAACACTCCTACTCTATGGCTCTCCAAGAATCTTAGAAGTTTGTCTGAGCATTTGTGAGGGAAGGGCAATTGGAAACTTGAATCCAAAGGCAAAGAGACACTTTTTAGTCTTTTCATCACATTTGCTCTTGAATTCCATAATCTCTTTGGTGGGACCACAGAAAGTAAAGACTAAGAAGTAGAAACTTAGAAGACCTAGAATTGGAGGCAGAAATAGAGTTTTAAGTAGAATACACAATATATATCACCTGAGGACATTACATTCATTACTTCAAATTACTGTTGCTTTGTAGGCACCAGCAAATAATTCTTTAAGTTTTTTTCTTTTTTTAAAAAAAGATTTATTTTGTTATCTATGCATGCAAGAGCTGAAGTGTAGGCCAAAGGTGCAGAAGGGTGAGAGAATTCACCAGAGACAGAGTGGGGAACAGAAAAGGCAGATTAACTGAAATACGCTGCTGAGGGGAGCAGCACGACAGACAGGAGAGGTCTGCTACACCATATTGGTCACTTCCCTGGCCAGGCATTCACTCCTGCTGCAGTGACTACTCATAGCTTCATAGTGCTCAGACTTAACCCCTTCCACCGCCAGGGAGGCTGTAGCGACAGGACAGGTAGGGCATAGTGCAGGTTTTCTGATCCAGCAGATCAGGTAAAGGAGGGAGAGAGTCCTGGAGCCCTCAGTGGCTTTTCAGGCTTTTATTGGGATTTACCAGGTACACAGTAGGCAGGGGTCCCGGGGGGCTGGCAGGCCTCCCAGCCCTCAGCAAGTCTTCACTCTTTTTGGGCTTTCCAGCCTTCTCTGATGGTTCTGCTCTTTGTTCTTCTTCTCAGTGTTCTGCTTCTTGTGATTCTGCTTCTGCTTGCGTCTCCATGGCACTGCCCTTATAAGCCCAGTCTTAGCCCAGGTGAATCCCATCTACATATGCCCACACCCTACTCCAGGTGCCCACCATCAGGCATGCATTCAGGACCATAAGGATCCATCATCAATTCTAATGGAGGGAGGGCAGAAAAGCCTGATAATTTTTTCCTTACCCTACAGAGGCCCACCAGCAAATAATTCTTAAACTAAGATACTACTTCTAGGGTGAAAGAGGGATGGAGTAAAGGAAGGAGGGGCAGGGTGGAGGTGATGAAGAAGAAAGCAGAGAAAAAGAGGGAAAGAAAAATACAGGATAATCTTTCATACAGCTGGGGAAAATGTGATTTCTGACTTTGCATCATTGCTAAATTATTTTAATAGGAAGTAGATAAATTTTTAGGGTTGGACAAGACCTTAGACATCATTTGTCCATTATCTCTTCATTTTGCAAATGAGGAATCTGGAGTCTGGAGAGTAAAGAGAATTGTCCAAATGTTCACGATAAATTGAGGCAAAGCCAAAACTAGAAATTAAGTCTTTTAACTCTTAGTCTGCTTAATGTTCTTTCCCCATGATTGACTGCACTAGAGCAAGAGGGAGGCAGGACTAGTTAATTTACTAGTCTAATTACGACTTCACCTGAGAACTAGCACATTGTAGCTCAGAGACTGTAGATATCCTCAGTGTTTTTATTACAAGATTTTAAACAGAAGTCACAATTCTGAAGACCTGCTTCATTCTTGGTCCCCTAAAACTACTGATAGCTCTTATTTTTTTGCAGAAGATGCTCATCTTTTCAGATGACTGATTATCATATCCACACCTAACCATGTTGGTGTTGCCTTTTAGATTTTCACTCAGAGACAAATCGTGGCAGCCTTAGTTGATTTTGCTTGCAACTTTTTCCCTTGACATCATGAGTTCTCAGTTCCTAACCAGAGGCGGTTGTAGCAACAGGAAAAAAAATAACTGGTCAGCTCTGTGTTTTGGCTATACTGCCTGAGATGAGACAGTTATTCCTGATTATGGACGAGACTGTACCCATGTACAAAAGGCAGCCTGGTGTGTTAGATCATTATAAACACTGGAGAAGGTCAATGTGCCTGAGTCCCTGTAAAAAGTCACTTGTTCCTAAAAGAATTTGACAAATACTCACCCCCCTCTGAGCCCTTGTCCCTCACTTCTAAGGTGCTTTTAATATAACCTGCACAGCTGCGTTATTGTTAACCCCAACAGACACAGCCCCACTCCCACTCTCCGCCCCTTTTTACCTTACCCTACAGTGGCTCTCTAGTCTTTCTCCATTTTTCCCCCTTTTTTGCCATATTTAACTCAGTCCTTTATTTTTTATTATTTTTAGTGTATTTTTACATCATTTTTCATCTTTACACAATGTATGCATTTTCATCTTGGTTATAGTCCCCATACAATTCCCACACCACCCCCTTGTTTTGATCCTACTCCCTTCCCCCCACCACTCCGTTGCCAGAAAGAAAAAGAAAAATACGGAATGGTCTCATAGCAGGAATTTAGAAAACCTAAATAAGGGACCAGGAAAAAGACTAATTATAATAAAGTAAAAATCAACAAGCAACAAGCAACTATAAACCACAGACATTTTTCCCTTTGTTTCACTATGGGCCAAGCAGTGTCAACCAGTGGCTAAAGCAGAGATCTCTAACATGTTTGAATTTTAGGCTGATATCCCTCTATCCCACCAAATTGCCTTCTACTCTGGGCTATCTGCTTCCTGATATTTCTTAGCACAAGACTTTTTTTCTGCATATAAAACAGAGGAAATAAGAGAAGGAAGAGAGAAAGATGAAAAGGAGGAAGGAAATCCCTCAAACCTCAAACCTCAGGGATTAGGTGTGAGTTAGCATGGGAGGATAAAAGTATGTCTTTAAAAAATAATTCATACTATGGTATAAATGACTAAAACACATCTTTGCCCAAGAGCACTTTTCAACTAAGGAAAAAGATTGTAGGAGAGACCATGTTGGGCAGAACCCCAGAAACAAATTTCACACACTTGACAGGCTAGCCCTGTGTTAGGTATTTGTGATAAAGGACAAAGCAGAAAACTAGATCTCGGAAAGAAAGTGCTTGCCAGTTGTTGGCATTTTTCTCCCCTTGAATGAAGAGTAAGGTGATTTAAGAGATTTAAGGATTCAAGAAGTTCTCCCAGATCCCTAATCTTAGGAAGATTCTTTTCTGTGCTTCCCTCACCAGTGGGGTGTGAGTTGGGGTTATAGGTAGTTTGTTTTAAAGATAAACATCTTTACTGCAAGTAAGCTTTGCCATAAAGAGAAAAGAACAAAAAAAAGGAGGAATATTCAAAAGGACATATTATAACCTTTCCACCATATAACTTAATTGGCCTTTAAGAAAGGATATAACTAATTAGCTATAAAAGGATATGATGAGACATGAAAAATTAGTCACAAAATTAAAGACTTTTTTCCCTGTGTGTTTATTCTTCTTGGCAATACTGCATAAAGAATATTTTCCTTTTTTGTCAAAGAGCAAAAAGGAATGAAAGAGAAAAGAGGCGCACTCAGAAGACATTATGAAACATGAAAAATTAATAATAACAAAGTTAAAAGGACAAAATACAAAATATTTGAATATAAATATATTGTGAAAAAGACAAAATATTTGAACACATTTATTTTCAGCGATTAACATTCCTGGACGTGTGCAATCACAGCATAATACCGCTGTTCTAGAAAAGAACACAACCATTTGCAAAGCTAGATTTTGTCCTCCTGCAATGGAAATGCGAAACCAAACTGACAACTGGCTTCAATACATTAAAAGTTGACCAAAAGTAACTGATGAATAGGTCAACTGAAAAATAAAACCAAAGCTCAACCACTTCCTTTTTTTAATGACAAAATTGCTTTACGACCAATTATTTTTGCGACAAGAGTGCCTTCAGCAAAGATGTTTACGGCAAAACTACAGACCAGGTGACCAGGGGAGGGAGTTATATAAGTAGTTTGCCACGTGGAAGATTGTGGGGAAGACGTGTTGTGTCAGGATATGGTGCTCAACTACAGGATGCGGTGAGTTGGAGCTTTCTAAAGTTTACTTTTGCAATTTTCTTGGCAAGATATGTTGAGAAAAAGAAGGAAAATGTTGGTTTGTCTGTTAGAAATAATTGTTTAAAGACATTTTAAGATCTTGTTAATCATTGAAGAGCTGATAAAATGCCAAGTAAACTAGAATTCAGATGTTGTGCTAGAATGAAAGAGCAATTATTTTTTGCTTCTTTAAAAAGAATTGAATCAGGGTTATATGGAATATTGGCAGAAGAAAGATGAAATGACTCGTTCAACTAAATGTTTCTAATTCACCTTACAGTTTCAAAGTTTGGGCATTGACTTTAACAATGATCAGGTGTAGGTGGAAGGAATAGCCCGGCTTCAACTACTTCAATTGCTTCATCCATCAACATGTCAAAGCTTCATTGTTAGGTTCACCTGGGGGGAAAGGGTTCCTACATTTTATCATGTACATTTTTATCCTATCGCCTTAGAGCAGTTTTATTTTACATAACCCCTTTTGCTAAAGAGTTCTAATTCCCTATCATCTGCACATGCCAATTTTAACACCAAAATAACACAGTGACATCAAGAAGGCAGTAGATTCCATTTACTAAGCCGTGTCTACTCTTTGCATTAAGCTTTACACACACTACGTTATGAAAACTTCATAGTGGAACTGCAAGGTTGGTGTTATTGCTTCGTTTTTTTAATGGGGCAAATCAAAGAAAGAAAAGTTGAGTAATTTGGGCAGGGTCACTCCTGTAGCTCTCTGATAGGCAGGGACCCAGACTTAAGCTGCAAGTTGTGTACAATGAAAATCTATTTCTTCCTCTTAAAAAAAGTCCTTTATAATGTGGGCGATAGGTCAGCAAATCTTTTTTCTATAATAACTACGTTAGGCTTTATGAGCCATAGAACCTCTGTTGCAGCTACTCTACTG